CAAGGGATTGTAATACCCTGATATTTTAAAAGGATTTATTAATTAAATTAATTTATATCATATTATTATTATTATTATTTTTAAATGATTTGTTTTATTTAATTAGGTGCGTTGATAGTTGTGATTTGTTTTATTTAATTAAGTGCATAGATAAATTGTATTGTTTTAATTAAATTATATTTTATAATTTTATTTGTTAAATTTATATGGTGTTTGATTGGTGGAATGCTAGTTAGTGATTTGTTTATTTGATTTGTGTGATTTTATGTTTGTGTAACTTTATTGTTAATTATTGGTAGCTATTAAATTTAATTTCATTATTTTAGGTATTTAAATTATTTGGATTGGGATTAAGGGAAGTTAGACCAACGGATGTGGTATTGGGCTTGAAGGAAGCCTTGTGGTTTAATTAGTAAAGGCCCATGGTTGTGAGGATATTTAATAATTATCTTTGCATAATTATACCTATATAATTACATGTGTATAAATTTAATTCATTATTAAATCATGTGGAGGGGTACATATGTCAATATAATTATATATTGATAGATATAGGTATATATAATTTACTTAACTAATGGTTATATATGGAAGGTAATATATATATTTATATTAAAATATATGTATGTATATATATTATTTAAAAGATAAATATTATTTATTTTATATGGTAATCATAGTGGGAAAAGGATTTAGGTTTTTGGATATGTATAAATGGACACATAAGACTTTAGAGTTAGGAGTTTTTCCACCTTAGAAAAATAAGAGAATTAGAGAGGGAAGAAGAAGGGCTAACGAAGAGGAGGCCGGATCAAAGAACGTAAGAGGAGACCGGATTTGGAAAAGAAAAGGCAAGTTCTTCTCTATTTCTCCTCTTGAAATTCATAAACCTATCACCTTGAATATAAATTATATTTTTTTTGGTTGATTAAAAACAAGCTATTAATCGAATTAAATGAACATATTTTCTTTGCAAAGTGATAGATTTGAACATGAGAATAACTATATGAATTGTAAAAAAATAATTTAGCTCAATATATGAGAGGTTATATTAATTAGGTTTTTATTTTCTGTAATTAGTATGGTTTGTTTTGAATTAGTTTAGCACGATTAATGGAAGGAAATAGATCTTAATAGAATTATATATGTTAATTTATACTCAAAATAATAAATAAGGCTGTTGGGATTTTTCCTGGAATTTTCTGGAAGGAGTTTATAATTTTTTGTATATTATTTAGGGTTTATTGTGTATATTCTGTAATTTATATATATATATATATATATATATATATATATATATATATTTGGTTATATACATATACATTGGAGGTTAACAAATCGGCGCACTACAAAGGGGTTTCGATCCAGTGTGTTGCGGTTCATGAATAGATGGTGCACAAGTTGATCTCAACCGTGGGTGGAGTTGATGGATGGTGAAATGATCTAGTGTGGTACAGTGCATGGAGATCTGGTGCGCATGGGCATCTGGATCGTTGATCAGGTTCGGTCAACACTTGAATGGATCTAATGCTTCGCGGCTTACAAAAATAGAGTGGGGCAGCCAATCAAAATAAGCCAACACGCGTTGAGAGTGGATCTGGCGCGTGTGGGCGCGTGCAGGTGCGTGGACGCGCCTGCCAATGGGGAGAGCGTGTAGAAGCACGTGCAGTGGGTTTAGGGGTGAGTAGCGGCGCGTGGGGGCGCATGCGGGGGTGTTTGAGGTCCCTGGAAGTTCCTGTGCGGTCCCGTGAATTCCCAAAATTTATTTTAAGCTATTAAGGTTGGAAAACAACCATTATAGGACGTGTTTGTGGTGTCTTGAGAGGCATAAAGTAGGTCTAGGGTATTTTAACGGCGATAATTTATTAAATTAATAATTGGAGATGGATGGACGTATGCATATATGTATTGACATACATATATATATATTTATATATATATTATTCTAATAATAAGGGATTTTTTTTGTAGAAGCGATTTATACATATATTTTTTTATAAATAATATATGAGTAGATGTATATACTATTTAAGATAGTTTGATGGTATATCTTAATAAGCTGGTTGATACATTAAATGGCATGCTTATAATATGCATGGAAGGTTTACATATGATTTGGCTTATGGTTAAATTGGTGTTAAAATTTGGTATATGGTTAAAGTGTAGGCATGGATGAATTGCCAAAAGCTTAAATAGATAGCCTTATTATTTATGAATAAATTTCATAAATGGAAAGCATGGATGAATTGCTATTTAAGCGTATAAATAAATACACCTCAGGAAGCATGGTTGAATTGCTAATATATAAATAGATATATTTATAATGGCATGGTTGAGTTGCCATTTCATAATTAAATTTATTATGTGTTAGATGATTAAAATTTCATCTGTGAGTATTGTATGTATAGGTTGGGTTAGGACTAGAATAATCTAGTACTTACAGGTTAGTACATTATTATATATATATTAATAGAATAATGTTGGTGTGATATGGATGATTTGGCAAGGCCTAGGTTTTAGTTATGTGATTTAAATAACTATAAATCACTATTAGGTTTTGGATTTAATGTATTCCTCTTTTAATTGTAATTTATTGCTTAAATGATTAAATTATTATCTAAGATGGAATTAAGGAATTGGGGTGCTTCTTTTAAAAGAAACATATATTGGGTGATTAGCGTAGGTATGATTGGTAATTAATCATTGGTTAATGGTTTGGCAATTTATAAACCTATTGGCATATTGAATGGTTGTATGACATATATAAGTATTTATATATATATTCGTAGCATAATATGTTAAAGTTAAAGCTTTATTAGGGATGGTTTTAGTAGAGATGATCTGTTTGTTAGTTTTCAGAGGCTTGATAGAGAGAGCTTGCTCGTAAGGTTTAACCCACGATTTATTTTTCAGGTTATTAGAAGGTCAAGTCTCAAGGTTGAGGATCCGCAGCTGGAGGACTTATCCATTCCTTCTGTTTATTTAGAAGTACGATATTATTATTGTTTCAGTTGATACTAGTATTTATTTTCTGGAATTCTAAATAGGAACTTTTGGTTAAGGGGTCCTTGAGTTTCGGGATTCCCGAGTTGTAACCATTTGAGAGTTATTAATGGATTTACTATTAATTAGTTTTTCTTCAGCGTTTTATTTTACTCTTATTCCATTTTTGTAATCTGTGCTTGTTAATTACTTTAATTGTTTTAATATCCCCTAATATTGTGCGCGGACTTGATCAACCCGTGTTCCGAAATTATGAGGTATTACAGTTGGTATCAGAGCAGTCCAGGTTCAAGTGTCCCTAGGGTGTCTTTCGTTATGTGAATTCCGCGTTGTGTACTCTTTTATTTAGAGCTTAAGTTTAGAATTCATTGTATTCCTTTACGGTTCGATATAATCGTACTGATGTCTGTCTTTCTATGTTAACAGCATGGTTAACACTGGAAGAGGATAGAATCTGAACAGTCGATAGAGGAGAGCGGCACGTAGGCAGCAAGAACACCTGCAACGCCAGCAAATGGAGGAAGAGCAGCAAAGGCTTGGGTTTCAGGATGAGGGTCAGCTTCAGGAGGAGCAAGAGGAGGTTCAGCAGGCTCCGGCTCAGGGTAGGGATCCAGAGTATCCTCCTCACAACAATGACCTCATTACTCGGGCTATAGAAGTTGGGGTAACAGCTGCACTTCGGAATCAGCCTCAGGTATAGTCGGCACCGTTACCAGCACCAGTACCAGCATCGGTTATTCAGACTGATACTTGGGAGAGATGATCTGTTTATTAGTTTTCAGAGACTTGATAGAGAGAGCTTGCTCGTAGGGTTTAACCCACGATTTATTTTTCAGGTTATTAGAAGGTCAAGTCTCAAGGTTGATGATCCGTAGCTGGAGGACTTATCCATTCCTTCTGTTTATTTAGAAGTAGGATATTATTATTGTTTCAGTTGATACTAGTATTTATTTTCTGGAATTCTAAATAGGAACTTTTGGTTAAGGGGTCCTTGAGTTTCGGGATTCCCGAGTTGTAACCATTTGAAAGTTATTAATGGATTTACTATTAATTAATGTTTCTTCAGCGTTTTATTTTATTCTTATTCCATTTTTGTAATCTGTGCTTGTTTAAATACTTTAATTGTTTTGATATCTTTTAATTTTGTGCATGGATTTGATCAACCCGTGTTACGAAATTGGGGGGTATCACAGGGATTCTCCGTCTTCTCCCGTGCTCTCTAACTTTCCTAGCACTGAGATACCATCTGAGTATCCATCGATTTCTGACATAGGGAAGGTTCAGTTTACTTCCGAACACTTCTACGATGACCATGCTTGGCAAGTGTACAAGGACGGTCCAATTAAGTCTGAACAAAATGTGAACTTGAAAAAGTTACGAGATAGTCCGGGAAAGAACTTGGTTGATTATATCAAGAATCACAAGTGGTTGTTCTTCACCACTGTGGCAAGTTCTTACAGTCCTGATCTCGTTCATTATTTCTACTCAAATATCCGCAAGGTTCATGATTCTGGATATTTTGAGGTGTCATTGTTCAGGAAGGATTATGTTGTTCATAATGATGTGATTGGAAAAGTTCTTGGCATTCCCAAGAATTTTTCAAACACTGGCTATCGTCTTCCACTAGTACATTCCAATCTAAAGTGGGAAGATGTTTGCAATGAGCTGTATGTTCCAGGTTCTCCGAGATTTCCCGACTACATTCCCAATCGCTATCTTATAGATGAGGCCGCTTTTCTGAATTTGTTTGCCATCTCAAATTTGGGTTATTTTAGGAAAAATATGTTATTTCTGTAGATCGTGCAGATGTACTATATCTCTTATCCATTGATGCTGAGATTTATCTTAACTCTTCAATCTATGGTTTGATGGTTGCGCACTACAAGAACAACACCGAGAAGAAGTCATCTCCATTCCCTATGATCATTATGTGGTTATATCGGCATTTTGAGATCCTTCTTCCACCCCGTGCTCACTAGATTGCGATCATATCTGAGATGGATGTGAGGGCTTTTAACAAGGCCAAATCTGTATGAGCTTCATCTAGGAAAGCTAGCATGGGTGCAACTGTGTCTTCATCATCTCTTCCTACGATTATTACAGTTTTTCTGACTGAGCGGGCATTTAATACTATGGATGCCAATTTGCTCTATTCCTTAATTCTTTAGAATCAACAAGCTTTGATGGATGTTGTCCGTGATCTTCAAGAAGATGTTTGGTTGCTTAAGGAAAAGAGGTCGGGTGGTACTTCTGAGGATGTATACAGACTAGCCCTTCTAGATGCATCACTTGTTGTTGAGGATGATAGGGATGAGGAGGCTGATACAGATGTGGATGATGAGGATGACGAGGATGATGATGATGCCAGTGGGAGTGATACAGATGATGGTACTGGTGATGATGAAGAGATTCCAACATCTAGAGTTCCGTTTGCTGGAGATGATCCTGATACCTGATTCTATTTTCATATTATTTATGCATCATTTTTTATTAGTTTTTACATTGTCATGACTTGATATTTTTGGATATTCTGTTTTGGTTTCTGATATGTATTAAATTGATTTGTGTTTACTCTATTTAAGTATTATTTATCTCTGGTTGTTTGGCTATTTCTTTGTCAATTTTGTTACAAAAAGGGAAAGATATACCAAGAATACATTAAGGAGGGGAAGAAAACAATTTTTTTTTGGATAATTAATTCAGGGGGAGTTTTAAACTTGTTTTATTAAACTTTCACTGGTAGTTTTGCTTGAATCATGTGCAAGAATTTAGGTAAACTTTTGTCCAAGAAATGAAGAGAACAAAGTTAAAATATTTCCGTATTTCCTTAAATAATTGTAATTTATTTTTCTGCTTTGGGTAGATTATACATTGTTTATAGGGTTTTGCCATGAAATTTCCAAAGGGGGAGATTGTGAGATATATTTTTGTAAATTAGCATATTTCAGTAACAAAACAATTCTTAGTCAAGTTGTAATTTTAGTTACCATATTAGGCTTGATATCGACTGCGGAATTCAGAGGTTGAACAGAAGTGGAAAGTAATATCATCAGAAAGGCAAGAACAATGATTAGGACAATGTTTCCCACTTAGGACACATTGATATACATGGTATATTTATAGAATTCCAAAAATACAGAATTTCTAAGTCTATATTGGATTCTATCAAGTGGGAACCGGTACCTAAATTTGGGAACTGGTTCCAAAAGCTAATTCACTTGAAACAACTCTCTGTCCTTTGGGAACCGGTTACAAGATTGGGAACCGGTTCCACAAGTCTTGTATGTACAAGGTTTCAAGTTTCCTTGTTCCGTTTAATCCCTTTTCAATCCAACTTTCCTTCCAAGTTCTATGCACGAAATTTCCTTTATTTTCAAGAGGAATAGGACTTTGCAAACCTCTATATAAACTATGTCATATACATTGGTTTATTTACGGCTTTTAATTATTATTCACATATCATACAAAGCCTTAGGAAGTTTATCCCTCTTAGAAAATCAAAGTTGATTTTTCTGTAGTCTTCCTAGAATATATATATATTCACCTATTTAGGTTAGAGTTGTGGAGTTCGAATCCTAATCGTGATTATACAGTTGCATCTACAACGATCAGACAAAAGTAGATTTTCTTCTATATTATTCAGACGATTGAAGAACAGAAGTAAAAACAATCACACTTTGAAAGGGTTAGAGCATTCGAGGAGTGTTGTCTGATCTACTTGCTACTCTTTTACAAATATCAAGCATAAGCCTGAGGTCAAGTTGCTGTTGGATAGGGAGTCACAAAGCCAGAGGATTTTCAACAGTTGGTGTTTGGTAGAATGATAGGGTGTGAGCCAGAGTCAAAGTTCAGTATACTTTGTTTCAAGCATAGTGGATTAGTTTACTTTGGGCTGCACAGTCCACGAGGTTTTTCCCATAACAGTTGACGTATTTTATCAACTGGGGTTTCCTCGCTAAAATCCTAGTGTCATCTCTAACTTTATACTTTGCTTTATTTTATCTGTATGTGATTAATTGTTTAATTGCTAAAATATAAAAAAAGTAAAGTGGTAGCGACACATATCTATTTTACAAAACAAACAAAAACTTTCTAAGTATTTTCCACTGCGTACGACTCACAATTGAATCTTCTACTCTTTCATTCATAAAATGGAAATAATCAGCAACCATTACATTTTTATTCTCAACAATGCTAAATAGATATGAAAATTTACAAGCCAGCACCACATCCCCACACCATAAATCCTTCCAAAACCTCACATTCCTTCTATCCCTAACTTTAAACCTTATCTGCTTTGAAAACTCATCCCAAGCCCTCCTAATTCTTTTCCACACTCTCATACCTTCTGATGTAGACCCACTTCTAGACTTCTAACCTCCTTTCTCTTCCCCAAACCTACCAGCAATGATTTGTCTCCAAATTTAGTCACATTCTTATTGTAATCTCTTTACAGTTTGTTTGTTTGTGAAGAAACTTTTAGAATACAAACTTTCTAGGGACATTTTAAAGGTGTTTGGCCAAAGATTAGGCAACAATAAGGACTAATTGGCTCATTACTTTGCTTCTCACCATACTCACCTGCTTGTTAGCTGGTATGTGATTTACTGCTTATTAAGCTTAATGAGTTGGTTATTCTTTGTTTAACTCAGGTGTATAACAAAGCTTCCTCTTTCTATTTTATTTTATTTTTTATTTTTGTTGAGTGGAAATGAAAAGGCCTATTTAATGATGAACAACAGAAATAATTCATGGGTTCTTCATAGAATGCCTTGAATTAATTTTCTTGTATTGTTTATATGCTCTCAAGCTAGTTTTCCAGTTGAGAAAGACACAAAAGGAACTATATATATATATATGTATATGTCTTTCTATCTACACACTCATTAAAATATATGGGCTTGACTATAATAGAGAAATTTTAGTCTAAAAGAACTTAGTATATACTATATAAGTGAAAAGAATTAAAAGGATAACAGGTTCAATACAAAGAATAATAAATTTGATGACAATTTTCGTCTTTACAAGATTCAACGATGGATTTTTTTTATTGATAGCTTTACATTGTGATTAATTATTGAGCAAATGGATGCTAATACTCTTTTTTCTTTTCTTTTTTCCATTTCTTTGGAAACTAAAGTTTGGAATATATTGAGGGTTGATAATAAGGTTGGATAGACATTGGAATTCAATTTCCATCATCTATCTGAAAAAGAAGAAGGCAAGAGACGGAGAGGGTGACAAAAAATAAGTTATTAGAAATGACTTTAAACATAGTGCATGAAAAAGAATGGAAATAGTGAATTCACGTGGCCTTACACATATTTGCATGGGATTAAGGCAAAGATGGTAATAATTATTAGATAAATGAAAGGTGGACATCAATCTAAAAGTATTTTGATGCATTTGAATTAAGTAGGATTTAAAAGGAACATGGATGATAACATTAGTTTTAGAAGAGAACATAAATGTACATAGAAGATAGAAAAAAGCATGGATACACTACTGGTGATTTCCAGAATAGAGCTAAGGTGCCAAAATAGATATAAAAATAGCATCCTTATGCATCCTTGTCACATCTCAAAATCTAAATAGCTAGATAATTGTTCTTGTACATATTAAAATATTTCAAATCTTCTTAAGCACACCAGTGTGATATAAGTTAAATACATGTTTGCTTTAATTTTATTAATAAATGTTTTCATTTTATGGCAGCATGCAAAGTTACTCAACCCATAAACCCAAATACTTGCAGAAAAAATTTATCATATGTTTGACACAATCTGTATCTCAATAGCATTGCCTATCAAATCCAAGCAAATATTATGTTCATTAGAAATATAATCAATCAAAATGAAGAGTTTTATTGATTTTGCCTTGGTTTTTTCCCCAGAGATATCCACAAACGACTACATGTCTTCACCAGAGAAAACATTCATTGTCGCAATAGTAATTGGTAAGTTTTAAGAAAAAAGGAGAAAATTAGGAAGAGGGAAATAAAAAGAGATATTCAAAAATTTTCATTGACATCAAATTGATCCTAAGATCTCACCATTTTAAGTTATTTCCACTTCCAAGCATAGTAAGGCTTTTGATAGTACTGGCAGTAATAGGCTTTGTCGTTTTATATTGTTGGAAGAAGAGATAACCAATTATAAGAGAAATGCAACCAATCATAGGTGAAGTGCAACAAGCATTCAATCAACCATCACTGAATGGAGTTCTAATTTAGGAGGTTGATGCACCTTCAATGGCGAAGTTCTTCCAAGACCTGGCAAATGAGAAAGCGATTAGATTTCATGAATAGGAACTACTTAGCTTCGTAAGTAATTACTCGACAAGGTTGGGTTCTGGAGGTTTTGGGGTAGTTTACAAAGGAGAATTTCCAAATGGAGTGCATATCGCTGTAAAGGTCCTCAAAAGGAGCTCAGAAAGAAGAGCTGAAGAGCAATTCATGTCAGAAGTTGGCACAATAAGAAGAACCAACCATATAAATCTAGTCAGACTATATGGATTTTGTTATAATCCCTCTATAAGTGCGTTAGTGTTTGAGTACATGGAAAATGGATCTCTTGACAAGTACCTGTCCCATGATACAGAGGCAATTGAGTGGGAGAAGCTATATGAAATTGCAGTTGGTACAGCCAAAGGTATTGTATATCTGCTTGAAGAATGCAAGCAAAGAATCATTCACTATGACATCAAGCCCAATAATGCTTTACTTGATGCAAAATTCTTCCCAAAGGTTGCAAATTTTGGGCTAGCAAAGCTGTGTAATAGAGATGGCACCCATGCAAGTGTGATCGGATATAGGAGGACTTCTGGTTACTCCACACCAGAGCTTATTCTGAAGAATTTTCCAGTAACTTATACATATGATGTTTACAGTTATGGAATACTATTGTTTGAGATAGTTGGAAGGAGGAAGAATGTCATAGGCGGTCCTACTGAGAGCCCAGATTGGTTCCCGAAATATGTTTGGGATCGGTATGAGAAGGGTGAGTAGGCAACGATGACCATATCATGTGGGATTGAAGAGAAGGATAGAGAGAAGGCAGAGAGACTATCCATAATAGCTTTGGGTGTGTTTAAGACTCTCTAGAGACTAGGCCACCGATAAGTGTTGTGGTGAGGATGTTGGAGGCAGGAGTGGACATTGCTCCGCCTCCTAGACCATTCCACTATCTGTATTCAGTAGGCATGAATGTGCTCAAACCATTCAGCAGTACTCACAATAGTTCAAACGATGCATGAAGGGAGGGATCTAATTTGTACTGGTACAAGGACTCTACCACACTAATGACCAAGTCCGAGATACAAATTTAGGATGATAATGGTGTGGTTTGGGGCCAGGATCTCATTCCCCATTTCCATTTCTATCATCGTTTAGTTTATTCACCCTCATAACCACCTCAAAACTCATTAGGTTTTTTAAAACAGCCTTTTTACATATCCC